TAGCCCTAGTGAGTTTATGGTGAGGTAAGATTCAAACCTGGGCGTTTCTGGCGTAGGGATCAGTCTCTTAACCACTGCACTACATCTACACTCATAGTTATTTGATGCAAGGAGGGATGGGCAAGTAACAGGTAGAAAAGTTCTATAATGCAAGGGAATGAAACATCCCACCCTATGCTTTCTGTTGTTTTTAAAAATATGCTTTACTCTTTTTATTGACGGGGCCAGTCCATCAGATTCTCAAAAGCAGTTTAGAAAGCATTTAATATGCATAGCTTAAAATCAAAATGTAGTAAGAAAATGTGAAATATGTCACACACTACATCAAAAATCAATACAAAGTCAGAACAACCAAGATTGAAGTCAACTACATTGAAATCCTAAATGGATGCACGCAGGCCAGACAATAGATGTCAAGATATGGAACAGTAATTACAATCTAAGATATTCTTTTCATCCCACTCTAAAGCAACTTCCTGCTATTCAGATTCTGTCTTGCATTCATCTAGGTTTCTGCCTTTCTAATTTAGCTGGACATTGACAATTTTCATGCTGATAGTACAATGAGGAGGAAAATGTCAAGTAATCTGTACAGCATAAGGGCAAAAAGCACTGAGAAACAATTGATCTTTCCCTATTTAATACTGGCTTCACCTTCTGCCCAAATGCCAGAGGCTACTTGGTGCCTTTGTTTAATCCTTGTCCTTCTGCAACATTTCACACAAAAATTCCACGGCAACAAGATACAATGGAATTTTGCCTGTGTGCATTACAAAGAGATTTGTTCGCAAAGCAGCAACAGAACAGAACATCTTGTCCTTTGTCTTGCTTCAACCAACCCTCTTGTATCTACGTGGCTGTTTTCCTGTGGCAAGAACGCAAATGTCACTGCTACGTGGAGAGGGACATGCAAGGCTGATGAGGTGCTCAGCTGCTTTCTTAGTTCTGTTATGTCTTCTCGTTGATGCACAGCTGCTCTTCTCTTTGCAGGAATATTGCAGGTACTTATCCCATTTTTCTTAATCGGGTTTCGTAAAAAGCCACTCACCTGGCTGCTTATGGTGAACAAGGGGTACCTCAAGGTGACCCAGCAGGGATGCATTTGTAAGCTGCCAGAGGCTTAGCTTGCTCCTTCCCCCACCCTCTCCAGTGCCATTAACATGCCACAAAATAACTGAAAGCAGGAGGAATGTATAGGGCAGGTGAGACTTATCGGCAAGGCCACTTTAATTTTTTGTGATTGCTGAATTTTACAATCTTTCTCATAACTTCCTGAACACATCAATAACCCCAGGCAATGCAGTCATTGAAAATACCAATTTAAATAAGCAAAAGCAAATAGATAATCACAAAACCTTATTTAAAGCATCTCTCTCTCTCTCTCCTTTTCTAATATTTCTTTAAAGAAACGCAAAACATAACGACAGAAGACAAATTAAGAAAACAAGGTCCTTTGGGTATTTATTCATAGGCAGCCTTTGCAAAACATCCCTTTCTGCCTTTGGCTTGAATGTTCAACTAGGACTTAACTTTTCCTCCCACTGGATTCTTCTCCCTCAGATCTGCAGTCCTTGTTAATAACATTTCCCCATCTGCCACTCACACTTCTGTTTCCACCACCACCACCCAGACACTTTCAAAATCTTACTATTTCCTCTTGTTTTATAAACGAGCGTTGCTCAAACAGTGGGCCTTGGGCCACTTTTGGGTGGCCTCAGCCAGGTAGACCTCAGTCTGTCCAGTGTCTCCTCACTCCTGCCTTGCTCCCAAGGCATGACATAGCCTTTTGACTGGATCAATGCCAGAATCAGCAATTACTTGCATTCTGAGGAAAGATGGCTGGAAGACAAAGGAGTTGGAAGGGGGTGGAAGGCCAAAGGGCAAAGGAGGTGTTGAAGGAAACTAGAAAGTGATATAAAAGCTTAATATGTTCCTGAATTATTATTTTTTAAAGTGTTTTATCATTTGTGTGTTTGCTGCACTAGAATCCTCTGGCAGGACGAGTGGGGTACATGTTTAATAATAAAATAAAACCATTATTATTACTATATTAAAATGCAAAATCAAGCATAGAACAAAATCATCACAGAAAGTAGGCATCAAATATAGAAGAAGAGACAAAAGGGAGGCCAGAGATATTAGTAATACATTCCAGACTTTTGATATAATGGAAATTCCTGTTTTATTGTATTATCCACAACCATTAATAGGATGAAGGAGTGGGGGGAGATTGGTTATGTTAGTAACGTGTCCAATAAAATCATATAAAACAAAAATAAATTTGTTCTTTTTTATTCCTCTAGAGGTTCTCAGTTTATATGCCTTAAAAAAAAAAACCAAAAAAAAACCCGGGCTGATTCCCATATATTTGTGTACCAGTAAGAAATATTTGGTCCTTTATCACTATCTTCAAATACTTTTAGAAGAGCTAGTTGTGGGCTGGATGTTATGTTACAATTTGTAATTGTGTTATTCTCTTAAAACACAGAAAGCCAGAGCTTTTGTACTTTTCCACCATTACACAAGAACCCACCTGGTGGCATCCTGCTGGGAGGGATATAAATTTAATAATACATACATACATACATTTAACAACAACAACAACAAACAAGAAATAGAAAGGGAAGGGAGTAAAAGGACAGGAAGGAAGGATGAAAGAAACTGATGGAGTGGGAATAAAGTACAAACTCGGTGTGAAAGGAAAATAGGAGGAGAAATTACTTTTTTATAAGGTATCTTCCAAGGAAAAGGAATCATGGACAGAGGATTCCAGGATACATCATGGCTTATTTTTGTACTGGGGTGTTTATATTGCTGTCTAAAACAAAAAACCACCCAAAAGTTAAGCACACAAACTGATCTTGGTTTCACTGACAGTAGGAGTCCACATGCATATTTAAACAAATCTAAGCTATGTATCTGTAATTAAATTTTATTTTTAAAATGAGTCAATAATTCTTCACTAAAGTTCTTTTTTGTTTATTTAGTATTCAGCTACGCTCAGTTCTCTGTTAAGTTGGTACGCTAATCCTAAACTGCAGTAAACTAAAGATTGATATTTTTAATTATCAAATGCCAGCTGTTCATAGTGATAGCAACATTAAAGCTATGGAGAAAGAAATGCAGTGTATTGAGATTATACAGTAAACAAATTGGGAATATTAGACAAAACCAAACAAAATTGCAAGGATAAGCCTAATTGGTGCTCAAACAATACTCTATATTATTGTTATTATTTTCTGATCAACAGAATAAAATATATGACGTTCTGAACATGAATGTCAACTGTACATGAATGGGTTGAAAAGGCTCAGGGATAGTTTTTAATAGGATGGCTGATTAACAAAGAATGACCACTCAAAGCAGTAAATTGCTTAAGTTGAAGGGAGGGGTCAGGGAAGGGAAGGGTATTATTGGGGGATTTAATTTTACAGCTGTGTTGAACCAAAGTTGAAATGCTCCTGAAAGTCTGCAAACACCATCTTGGTAGTCCAGATAACCCCAAACTAACTGGTAGTTGTTGCAAGAATTATTCACTTGCTTTAATACATGCTAATTGGCTTGGTTTGATGCTATGCTTATCTGTGGGCTTGGGGTGTTGGGCTCTGAGCCCAGAAAGGGGAACTATCTATAAGATTTGGGCGTTTGCCACCTATGCCCTCATCTGGTCAGGTGAAGCAATGGAAAGTCCTGGCCTAAGTGACATATGCTGCTTTATGTATAAAGAAGGTATGAACGTTTGCATGGCCGTGGACCTCTCACTGTTGCAGTGTCCATTTGTTAAGGTTGTGTGTCTCTACAGGCCATGCAGTAAATCTACATTTCCTTCCTCTAATAAAGCACTAGAACTGATCACACTCTCGTTTTTTCACATCCTTCTTACATATACCTGCCCCAAACCACTCCCACGAGCCCTGCTTTAGTCTGGTGGATCAGGGCAACTGATCCTCCAAGTGTCCCTATTTTGCAGGGACAGTTCCAGATTTACAGAAGGATCCTGGTTTTTAATTTGATCCCATAATGTCCGCTTTTCCTTAAAACATTCCCATTTTCATCAGAGAAATGTTGGACGGAGTTATGTGACCCTCAAGCCAAGGAGATACAAGGAGCAGATGCAACCTTTAGAAGACATCTGAAGGCAGTGCTGTATAGGGAAGTTTTTTAATGTTTAATGTTTCATTATGTTTTTATTTATGTTAGAAGCTGCCCAGAGTGGCTGGGACAACTCAGTCAGATGGCCGTGGTACAGGTAATAAAAATTGTTATTGCTGTTTTGTTGTTGTTGTATGATGCTGGAGGAGAGACTTGAGAGTCCCATGGACTGCAAGAAGATCAAACCTATCCATTCTTAAGGAAATCAGCCCTGAGTGCTCACTGGAAGGACAGATCCTGAAGCTGAGGCTCCAATACTTTGGCCACCTTATGAGAAGAGAAGACTCCCTGGAAAAGACCCTGATGTTGGGAAAGATTGAGGGCACAAGGAGAAGGGGATGACAGAGGATGAGACAGTGTTCTCGAAGATACTAACATGAGTTTGACCAAACTGCGGGAGGCAGTGGAAGACTGGAGGGCCTGGCGTGCTCTGGTTCATGGAGTCATGAAGAGTTGGACACGACTAAATGACTAAACAACAACAATCATTATTAAATAGGACATCCCTATTTTTATCAGAGAAATGTTGGAGAGTATGCAGTAAGGCTTTGAGAAGTTATGTGGCATAAACCAGCTGCACTACTTACTTGTCTGGCAAGGTAATTAATCCAAATCCTGACTAGTGATCAGAAATGGGGCTCGTCTACAATTCCTGAATATGGTAACTGATCATTTATTTGTTTATGATCATTTGGATCCATATCTGTATCTCTACATCAAAACGAAAGCCAACAGATATGATGTGAAGCAACAGAGGAAGTCAGAACACTGGTCCATCTAGCACAGTTTTATCTGAGTGCAGCAGTGGCTTTCCAGGGTTTCAGCCAGAGGTGTTTCCCAACCCTTCCAGAAGATGCCAAGGATTGAAACTGGGTCTTCTGCATGCAAAGCAGGTGTTCTACCACTAAGCTACAGCCCTTCTCCAAATAGAGTGCTGGGCTTAGACTAGGTTAACTTGAGTTCAGCCATGGGCAAGTCATAGTTCTCAGCAGCATCAACCCTGAAGGATTGTTTTGAGAACAAGAAAGGGGATATCTCCACGTACAAGTTACATTTGTGATAAAGGATATTCGTTTATATTCCACTTACTCAGCCAGCAGAAAGCTCAGTGGTCAATAAAACATAATCACCACAGTATTTTGCTACCAAAAGTTATGGCCATGGCACACTATTATTCAACTAGATCCTGTTGAAGCCATTAGGATAAGTCCAAGTCTTGCCCAAAATGTCCTACTATAAATTGAACAGATTAAAGTGCAAGTGTTAGGCAGCTTTGACAAAATATCCAACTGCATTAGCGCACTTTGCATTTCTCTTCAAAATGTTCAAATTATCTTAGCTTTATCCCAGCTCTTTCTTGTAAGCTATAGCCAAGCCACATCATTTGAATGCCTAATAATCATCTCCAGCTCCTCCTGAACATATTCTAAGGATAACAGAAAAAGACCTTGAGGAGATTAGCATAAGAGATACATGGATAAATTTCCAAAGGAACAACGAAGTCCTGTTGCTTCAAAGATTATCCATCTCTGTTATGCTGATCACCTCGAGGCCTTTTTCCATTTGCAAGTTCTCCTTAAAATACCTTCTTGAGGAGATGGTTGTTAGACATTTAAATGATGTGGCTGAAGCAGCACAGAGTTTTTGTAGCAATGACTTTTACAATTGGCAACATTGATTTGGTGAAGATATTGGCAGTGGTAATTTTTTCTTAACATATACTTTTTGCTATTTTCCTCACAGAAGATTCCCTCCATTTTCTGCAATGATACACACCAGATTTTCTTTGCACTGGTGAGAGAGAGAGTGAGAGAGAGAGAGAGAGAGAGAGAGAACAAGAAAGAAAGAAAGAAAGAAAGAAAGAAAGAAAGAAAGAAAGAAAGAAAGAAAAGAAAGAAACTCTTCTTGCATACTCAGTAGCAGTAAGGACGAGAAAGTGAAGGCATGAAATGAAGACTTGCCTATCCTAAGAAACTCACAATAACCCCCTCTGTCTGTTACAGAACCATATGTACATGCTTATTCCCTGTGCCATGCCTGAATCACCAATGCCAAGAGGCTCTGAATCAGCAAACCGGGTGGGGTGGGGAAATTGGCAGCAGGTTCTCTTTTAATGTAACATTTTGAAGAGTTTCCCTGTGTGCTATATTCCGAGCAAAGACCAGTGGTAATATCTGGCTATCCAAATGAGAACACCATTAAGCAGCAGAAGTAGTGATTGAAATGTGGAAAGCTCTAACAGCATCATAATTGTTCCAGGCACTGTGATGCTTTTAGCTGTTCCTGAAATGGCCTATTATAGAGAATCCATGCTCACCAAATTTAGCGTGGACAGAAAAGCTGCTGTCACTTGGAGCATTTCGGGCCTTTTCTCCATTCCAAACACAGACAGAAATCTGAGATGAGGCAATGAGTTGCTTTAACTGTCGCAGGCACTTCCAGAAAATCAGTTATTAAAGTTGTTCTGTGTCCACTTAAATCAATTTACGAAGGGCAGTTCAAAAACCTATACAGATATACATTTAATGGAAGATACATCGTTCAGAGACTGCAAATATATATATGTACATTATATGATTTTCCACTCTCAGGCACATAGAATGATAGAATTGGGGGGGGGCATGTTGACCATTAAGTCCAACTCCCTGCTCAAAACAGGAAATCCAAAGGTAGAGCAACGACCAGCCACTGATGCATCGCCAAAATGACAGAGTGCATCATCATCACACATAAAACACACAAAAAACCCCCCACACAATTGCACATAAAATTTGCATATGATAATGTTAGTGTGCCTATCAGTAGGGAAGAGAGAAGCAAAATTAGAAATGATTACTATAATTTAAACAGAAATGCATCTCAGCACAGCAGGGAAGACTGTGACCAGCTGACAATCGATGCCTCCTCAGTCCACAGTCTGGGTGCTGACTGCTGATGGGCAACTTCAAGAGCCTTCTAGCTCTCCCTTCTTCTTCATTTTTACCTTTAAACCAAACTTGGACCAGAGGACTGTCCTCTGCAAATAGAGGACTGTCCTCTGCAAAGTAAAACCTATAACCACCCAACAAATGGCTGTCTATCTTCTTTGATGACCAATAGTGAGAGAGAGATGCGGGGACGTGGGTGGCGCTGTGGGTAAAACCTCAGTGCCTAGGACTTGCTAGGTACCGCTTTATAGCAGGAAGGTAAACTGCGTTTCTGTGTGCTGCACTGGTGCTGGCTCGCCAGAGCAGCTTCGTCACGCTGGCCACGTGACCCGGAAGTGTCTCTGGACAGCGCTGGCTCCCGGCCTCTTAAGTGAGATGAGCGCACAACCCTAGAGTCAGACACGACTGGCCCGTATGGGCAGGGGTACCTTTACCTTTTTAGTGAGAGAGCCCACCTCCCCACTAATTACAGTGGTACCGTGGGTTACAGATGCTTCAGGTTACAGACGCTTCAGGTTACAGACTCCGCTAATCCAGAAATAGTACCTTGGGTTAAGAACTTTGCTTCAGGATGAGAACAGAAATCGAGCAGCGGCGCAGCAGCAGCAGGAGGCCCCATTAGCTAAAGTGGTGCTTCAGGTTAAGAACAGTTTCAGGTTAAGAACGGACCTCCAGAACGAATTAAGTTCTTAACCTGAGGTACCACTGTAATTGGTTCCATTGGCCAACTGCTCTTACTTGCCATCAAGTATTTTTTCATAAAGTTCAGCTGAGCAATACCTTCCTATAACTGCAGCCCATTAACTCTAGACTGGCTGGGGGAGCCCAGCTAGCCGATGCAGCTCTTGGTGGTCGGAGAGGAGCACTGGGCTAGGCCACACTGGGGGCACCTGCATGGGGGTGCCTGGTTTGCAGCCCCTCAAAAATTGTGCACTCCTCACACTACACCGGCCCCCGGTTGGACTACTACTGTTATCAGCCCTGACCATTGCCCATGGTGGTTGAGGCTGATGAGAGCTGGGAGTCAAACAACATCTGGAGGGACCATGTTGCCAAAAATCTGTGCTACATCATGCTGCTCTCATAGTTGTGACTTCTATGTTGCTTGAGAGACTGCTGAAGTGGCCTGAATAGCTGCTTTCCATGTTTTCACTGTAATATTTGTGGAAACTCTCAGGGAGTTAGAAACTAGCAAGGTCAAACTCCCTTTGACTTGATTCAATTCACTTTTTGAAACCCTCATAAGTTGAACTTCACCCTCGTCGTGAAGAGGGAATGAGTCAATGAAGTGAGAGCAAGCTTTCCATCATCAGGTCCCTCTTGTCTTGTTTCCACATGTGGTCTTGCAGCCAGTTCAAGAAAGGGTGCACAGTGATTGAGGAAGGGAGGTTTCAGTTCATACAATCCTTGCATACAATTAAATAGTCTTTTGCCTGTAAAGCACATGCCACTGCTCTCTTTTCATGCTGACGGAAGCAACATGTGTGATGTAGTGGTTAAGAGTGGTAGTCTCGTAATCTGGTGAACTGGGTTCGCGTCTCTGCTCCTCCACATGCAGCTGCTGGGTGACCTTGGGTCAGTCACACTTCTCTGAAGTCTCTCAGCCCCACTCACCTCACAGAGTGTTTGTTGTGAGGGAGGAAGGGAAAGGAGAATGTTAGCTGCTTTGAGACTCCTTCGGGTAGTGATAAAGCGGGATATCAAATCCAAACTCTTTTTCGTCTTCTTCAGATTTCACCCATGCTTCAATTCTGCACCTCCAAATGTCTACCACACATCTCCCACATATGCAGAACAGTCTCAGCAAGACTCTCAAAGCAAATACAACAAAGGCCAAAAGACAAGAGTACAATAAGAAGCAAATCAATCAATCAAAACAATGTTAGCACTGAAACAGTTGCTGGCATCCATCTGTCTCAAGAGACAATGGAGTGCGCCCTTAGGGGTGAAGTCAAACTGCTGTGTTAGCAGCACCAAAGTGTTTTCTCCGGAGCACAAGCCTGGGCAGTGTGTATGGAGGTCTGGGGCTGCCCAGATGACAAGAACCCATTCTTGGGCTTGATGATGTGGTCCAAAGGAAGGCAGCTTGGCTGCAAGTTTGGCGCCAGCTTGGCTGCAAGAGTTGTGGGAAAGAGGCGCACAAGGTGCCATCCAGCCGTCTTAGACTCCACTCCGAATTTGTGTAGGCTTTACTCCTTGGTCTTTTCTTCTCCCGAAGATATCCAGCAAGGCAGTGGAGGTTTAGAATCAGAGTTTTCCTCCTCCTAGATAGGCTACCTTCCCAGGTTGATAAGCTGCACCCGCCCTTCACTTCTCTCTGCAGCACATGCAGAAACTGCCTTCCTGTGATGGCCTGGGATTCAGACTCGGATGCTGAACCTGAGGGATCCCAGCCTGCACAGGATTCCCTGCCTCCAGAACCAGGTGAGCCAGGGCTAGGGCCTGAGCCTGAAGGTTCCTCACTTATGCTGGGTCCTCAGGTGCAGACATCAGCTGAGTCTGCTCTGGCTCCTGAGGTGATGGAGGACTGCCTGCAGGTGCTCCACTCGCAGCCCTGTCAGGGGAAGAGGAGGTTGCCTCTGGGTCCGGTAACCCTCCAGCCTCTCCTGAGCTGCAGAGGCTCAGGGCAGAGAGGCGGAGGGAACTAAGTTCCTGCAGGAGGAGTGCTCACCTCCAGGTCAGGAGATGCGAGTCACCAGAAGATCAGGGCCGTCCTATGCCTCGGGGCAGATAAAAGCCGGCCAGCCCCAGTCCCAAGTTGCGGGAGCAACATTGTTGGTTGCTAGTTCCTGCCTGAACCCTGTCCTGCTTTACTGCTGGAGCTCCTGACCCACCCTGGCTCCCAGCTTGCAAGCCTGTTCCTGACTTCCCCCGACTCCCTGCCCTGCACCCAGCTTCAGCTACTGCAGACTGCCTCCATGTTGCACCTTTGACCACGGACTGGACTTGGACCTCACCTCTCGGGTAAGCCACGGGACCAGCACACTTCCTGAC